GCCACATTAAAATTTTCATTCTCATTATTCTACTCATTTTCAACCACATATTTTTCAATAAAATAATATTTTCCATCACATCAATAACTTTTCCTTCTTTATCAACCACACATTCTCCATCAATCTACTATTTCAAAATACATTCTTCCACAATAATGTGGCTCAAACACACCCGAAGCAAGTCTTTCAAGATATTGAGAACTTGGTTTATCAATATGGAAGCAATAATAATTCATTTTTTGCAATGTTGAACGCTGGTAGCAAAGGGAACGTGCAAAAGTAGTCCAACATAGACGTTCTTAGGTTTGCAACATTCTTGGCTTCCATTATTATTTCGAATTCCTGATGAGGTCTCTCATGCTTCATGGAACAACCAAGAGAACCAAAGTGCTGTTCAGAAATCCAATGGAATCCAAGAATCTTCTGAGTTGTATATCCCATGTACTGTGGTTGAAAATTCTTTCTGAACAGGCTTAAATCCTTTGGAGTGCTTTGCACATTCAATAACAACACGTGACAGTTCTTTTAGCGGGCATGCCAATGTTTCCGGGACTATAACTTGCAGGCTTATGCTATTCTTGCATGATATGATGCAAGTGTTTGAAATGCATATGGGAATCGAATTGTTTAGTTACCTATGGTTGTGATACCAACTCATGTAGGAGCGGAAGCATAGAATTGATGTGAACGAACATGCTATCGAAATTTCGTTGATTCTAAATGAATACGTCAATACGATCACCTTCTAGTTACTGTTGATTTCTGAAAATATCAGAAATCTAGGCACCAAAAACTCTTTAATTCGTGCACGAATACAATGAATTTGGACGCGGTGATTTTTAATATTATCGAGAATTTAAGAGATTGAAAAACTTCAAAGTCTATGATATTTATTCCAAAACCCGCACCTGCCATTAAAGCTTACAATCCTTATTTAAAGCAATAACTAAAAATTAGATAAAGACTACAATCTATATAAAGACTAAAATTAAAAATAATGATTAAAATTAATGATGAAAACTCAATCTTCATCACTAATCCATGCAAAAGTCAAGACGTGCAAATGCAACTAATATTGCTGAATTTAGAGAAATTGGTGTCCGCATGACGAAAACTTTGAGGAATGACAATGGTGACGTGGGTCTTTAGGTCGTGATCGGTGATAAGGCAGTAACTTTTCTGATATGGCACTTGCAATTGGAATTCTTTTTGTTGAGTGTGATGAACCATAAAATGCATTTTCTAGTAATACGGGGATGCATTCATTCTCAGACCAGCACCATAAAGGGAAAACTGTTAGCATAAAGGGTGCTGATGGAAAAACTAGTTGTACAGATCAGTCATTTCCAAAACAAGGGATTATCAGGCCGAGTTAAAATTTATGGGATCATTTGATCCTTTCACCAATTAGTAAAAAAAAAATTAAACAATTCTACACACATACTGTTTATGGAAAGTCTGAATTAATTTTTTTCACAATAATCCTCATATTTAGAAGAGAAACATATTTTCATGAATTATTAAATATTAATCTTATGCAGTGGTTGATAAACTTAGTTATCCACATGAAATGCACGTGCATCTCTAAAACTTCACCTATGAATATTTTTGCATGTGGATCGCACATGAACTTTATGGAGTAAATTAGAAACTAACTGACCCATAACTTTCGTAAAGGACGAAGGTTCCACATGCACCTTATCCTATTCATTGATACAATTCAATAGATTTCATATCCATAAAAATAGCAAGGGCTGTTGATATTAGATTTGTGAGTGAAATTTATTGGGATTTGTTGATATTTTTTGTAGCAATGGTTAAGGATATGGATTCACATGAAATTGTAGTTCATTGATCCGGGTTGGGATAAAAAGGGAGTTTGTGATGTTGATGAAGAAGGCTCATTCAGAAATTTGGGTGGTTTCATTGGGCCAACAAAGAGTGGCAAAGCGCTGGACTAAAGGTGGTTGCTGTAAAGAATATAAAAATGAAAATCTTTGATTAATGCACATGCATCGCACTTGAACTATGAACATGAACCTTCTTAGTTTAATTAAAAATTAATTGATCTATAGCTATCATAATAACTTCTCCAGTTCCCTTTGATCAGTAGCTTTCATATCCATTAAGATGAATGAGTAATGCATGTGTGAAGCGCTACTGGATGGAAGAATTAGTAATATATAGCTAATTTTTTCAATCAGGAGTGTGAAGGTCATTTCGCGTTGATCAACTTGCCACATACAATTCTCAATCCATATTTCATGTCTGAAGTTGCACAGATTCTTAATATAATCTCTCCAGGATGTAAATTTCTTAGGCACTATAAGGTCAAGGTCAGAAAGCTGATTCTGCATCAATTCATCTTCAGCCTAGGAATTGCAAATACTGGAAAACTTAGAGACTGTTAACCCACCAACGAAATTAAGAGTATCTTCCAGAGACACGTTTACAAAGACAGTAATTGTTGCAGAGGTCAACAAAAAGTTCATAAATAAATCTCCAAAAAAAGTTTTGGCTTCTGAATATTGGGATGTCATTCCTCAAGAATCAAGCCCAGAAGAGGGTTCCTTGCAATCAAACATAAAAGTTCTATCACAAGTCCAGGTTTATAGCATCTTGAAAGATGTTTGCCCAACGATTCTTGAAGCTGTTCTCAGAAGGAAAAATTCATCTTTCTCAACTCTATACTGTGACTCCAAATAGTCATTGCATGAGAGAATTTTGGCACCGGATAATTTTGGATGAAAGTACATTGGATGAAGGCACAAAGATGTATAGAAATCTGATTGATTTCAGAGGTACACCATATAATTTGGTTGCTCATGTTTTTGACCTTCTTGACCATTATAAAAATTTTCAAGATACGAGCTGAAAGTTGTCACCCCTGCGTCGGATATATTCTGAAAATAAATCAACAAGTGATGCTTCCGATACATCTGTCTGGAAACACATAAAAGAACATCAACTTGGAAAATGGACAAATCATGCTTTCAGCATTAATTGTTTTCGTTGGGGATTCCCATTTAAAAGTGGATGAAATTAGCGTGCCAGTTCAAATTGCAGGGAACCTTTTGGTACGGGGCCATATAATTTTGTGGAATTGGGATAGACTAGAACCCTGCAGCGATTTAATGCTTTATCAAAAGGGGGAAATTTCTGTCTCAGAAATGGTAAAAGACTTTGTATTAGGTCCAAGTACTTACTGGAGGGATGAGATATTATATACAGGCCTCTCATTGATGGAGATTTTACGTTGATTAGTAGGCCTCCCATGTATTCATCATCATTCCCTTATTGCTGTATATATCAAAATTCTTCCAACAAATTCGGTCCTTTCAGTCAATCCTATTATTTGTTCCCCACTTAGAGGAGACTTTGATGGAGATTGTCTTCATGGTTATTTTCCTCAATCAGTAGATTCTAGAGTAGAGTTAAATGAACTTGTTGGTCTTGATAAACAACTGACCAATGGACAGTGGTCATAACCTCTTGTCGCTTAGTCATGATAGTTTAACTGCAGCACATTTAATCCTGAAAGATGGGGTTTTCTGAATAAATTTGAAATGCAGCAGCTGCAAATGTTTTGCCATCATCAGTTGCAATTGGCAAGAATCAGTTTCATCACAGTCTTTTTGTGGACCGGAAAACAATGATGTAGTTTGCTTTTACCTTCAGATTTTGAATTTGTTTATCTGTCTAACAATGCCCATATTAGCAAATGGGAGCTTGTAACATCTCCCAACAGTTCTTCATAGCTACGCGACAGCAAAGGCAACCTGTTCGACTGTCTTCTCAGACATTGCAGATATGAAACTCTTGATATCCTGTTTTCTGCGCAGAAGTTCTTTGTGAGTGGTTGTCAAGAAGTGGATTGAGTGTTTCACTGGTAGACCTTTCTTTTTTCTTCTGATCCATACTCTCAAATTAAAGAATCTTATTGACGAAGTTTCGTGCAGTTTGCAAGAAGTGGATAGGCTATCAATTATAGGCTGCTTATAATTTTATTTAGAGCTGCTCGCGCTGATGGAAAAACTAGTTGTACGTGATCATTCATTTCCAAAACAAGGGATTGGCAGGCCGAGTTCAAAATCTATGGGATTATTAGATCCTTACACCAACAATACTGTTAGGATAAAAAAATTTAAACAATTGTACACATACAGTTCTATGGAAACATAGTACTAAATTTTTTTCACGATAATCCTGATATTTAGAAGGGAAACATGTTTTCATGAATTAGAAAATATTATTTTTATATAGTGGTCGATAAAGTTAGTTATCTGTGTAAAATGCACGAGCATCTCTAAAACTTCACCTAGAAATAGTTTTGCAAGTGGATCGGGTGTGAACTTTATGGAGTAAATTAGAAACTAATTGACCCATAACTTTCATGTAAAGGAAGGAGGTTCCACATGCACCTTATGCGATTCATTTTAACACTTTGATTAATAGATTTCAAATCCACAAAAGAACATGGGCTATTGATATTAGATTTGTGAGCGTTAATAGGATTTTTTTATATTTTTTGTATCAATGGTTAAGGATATGGATTCAGGTGAACTTGTGGTGCCTTGATCCGGGTTGGGATAAAAAGGGAGTTTGTGATGTTTGATGAAGAAGGCTCAGTCAGCATTTGGAGTGGTTTCGTTGGGCCAACAGAGAGCGGCAATCAAACGTGAACGATGAACATGAACCTTCTCAGTTTAAATAAAAATTAATTGATGCTATCATATGAAGAAATAACTTCACCAGTTATATGAATCTCTTTTGATTAATAGTTTTTTTATCCATTAAGGTGGAATGAGCAATACATGTGAAGCGCTACATGGTGGTAAAATATGTAATATACTAATATATAGCTAATTTTATCAATATATGTTTATATAAAGGAAAATATTGACACATTACATACTTTATATGATAAAGGCAAAACTTGTCACCTATGCGAAAACAAATTTAATAATTGTGCACATATATTATTTATGGGAAATTTGTATTAAATTTTTTCATGATAATCCCAACCCTTGGAAGAGAAACTCGTTTTCATGAATTCAAAAGTATTAAATTTTATGTAGTAGTTGACAACATTAGTTATCTAAGTAAAATGCACGGGCAACTCTAAAACTTCACCTAAAAATAGTTGTGCACGTGAATCACACATGAACTTTTAGAAGTTAATTAGAAACTAATTAATCAATAAATTTATATAAAGGAACAGGGTTCCACGTGAACCTTGTCCGATTCATTGAAACAATTCGATTAAAAGCTTTCATATCCATTAAAATGGCATGTGTTTTTGTTCAAGCTAATTGATGTAGGGGCGGAAGCATAGAAATGATGGGAATGAAACAAGTCAGCAGCATTTTTCAAACTTCTATTTCTGCTTTTAAACAAGTATTCAGGATATTCAGAACTTGGTTTGTCAATATGGAAGAAATAATAATTCATTTCGGGCAATATTGAATGTTGGTAACAAAGGGAATGCGCAAAAATTATTCCAACATAGCATGTGCCTAGGTTTGCAACATTCTTTGGTTCCATCATCGTTTCGATTCCCTGATCAGCTCTCTTGTGCTTCATGGAACAACCAAAAGAACCATTGTGCTGTTCAGAAATCCCATGGAATCCAAAAATCTTCTGAGCTGTATATCTCATATACTGTGATTGCAATTTCTTTCCAAATAGGCTTAAATCCTTTGGAGTGCTTAGCACATTCATTGAGACTACGTTTTTCATGCATGATTTAGTAAGTAGATATGATGGAACTGTTAGAAATGCCTATGGGAATCAAATTGTTTAATTCTCAATAACTCCGATATGTTGATTCCAAACAAATACCGCAACACGATCTGGTGATCTCTAAAAATACCAGAAATTTAGGTACCAAAAAATTATTTGATTTACACATGAATACAGAGAATTTGGACATGTTAATTTTAAATATCAATATATTGAAAATTTGAGAAATTGAAAAACTTCAAATTCTAAAGCATTTATTCCCAAACCCACATCTGACATTAAGGCTATGTTTGGTACCAATTCTCATTTTCAACAGTAAATCAATTTTTATTTTCAACCACACATTTTTCAATAAAATAATATTTTCTATCACATCAATAATCTTATCTTCTTTTTCAACCATCCATTTCTCATCATATCACTATTCAAAATCAATTCTTCCCCCAAAAAATCCCTACCAAACACACACTAAGGCTTGCATCCCTTATTTAAAACAATAAATAAAAACTAGATAAACACTAAAATTAAAAATAATGACTAAAATTAATGATGAAGACTCAATCCTCATAACTAATCCATGCTAAAGTCAAGACAGGCATACAAATGCATCTGATAATGCTAAATTAAGAGAAATTGGTTTCCCCAAGACAAAAACTCCGAGGAATGACAACGATGACAAGGGTCTTCAGGTCGTGATCGGTGATAAGGCAGTAACTTTTTTGACATGTCACGTGCAATTGAAATTCCTTTTTCTGAAGGTGATGAACCAGACAAGTGCTGATGAAAAAATAGTTGTAGGTGATCCTTACTCCAATGATATTGTTAGGGAAAAAAATTTAAACAATTGTACATATATGCTACTTATGGAAACTTTGTATTAAATTTTTCACAATAATCCTGATATTTTGAAGAGAAACATGTTTTCATGAATTAGAAAATATTAATATTATGTCGTGGCGGATGAAATCAGTTATCAGCGTAAAATGTACGAGCATCTCTAAAACTTCACCTAGGAATGGTTTTCCACGTGGATCACACATGTACTTTCAAAAGTCGAGTAGAAACTAACTAATCAATAAATATATATAAAGGAACAGTGTTCCAAATGCACCTTCTCCGGTTCATTGAACACTTTGATTATAGGCTTTCTTATCCATTAAAATGGCATGGGGTTTTTGTTTGGACAGCAGCTAATCAACGTGAAAGTCAAAATAGATGTTCAAATGCAACTGATATTGCTGAATTTAGAAAAATTGGTGTCCCCAAGACAAAAACTTTGAGGAATGACAATGGTGACATGGATCCTCAGGTCTTGATCGGTGATAAGGTAGTAAATTTTCTGATAACATGCATTTGGAATTCCTTTAGTTGAAGGTGGTGAACCAGACAATGCATCTTCTAGTACTCTGGGGATGCATTCATTCTTAGACCAGCACCATAAAGGGAAAACTGTTAGCGACATAAAGGGTGCTGAGGAAAAAATATGCTATTAATGTTCGACAATCTTCTCAGACATCAGCAATATGAAACTCTTGACTTCCTGTCAGGAAGTTCTTTGTGAGTGGTGGTCAAAGAAGGAATTGAGTGTTTAGTTGGTAAACATTTTCTTTCTTTTGAAGAATTATTGGGTTTAGACATTACTTCAAGGCTTCTTAATCTTTTCAAAATGGTAGCAATATATTTTTTTTTATGATTTTTCTTTCTATAAAAGAATCCTACGGACAGTTGATTCCTACATCATACATCGATTCCAATAGGTTTTTGCTTTTGAATTGGAAACTTGCTATTGGATCCTTTCCATTTCCATACCGAAGATTTTATTTCAAAGTCGTTCCAATTTATTGATTGGCATTAACCCTAGATCCTTGCCACTGAGAAATGAATCAGTCCTTTGTACTCGAGCTCCATCGTGGACTACCTACATCCCAACAAAAAAAAAGGGTTAAAGTGGAACAGAAAAAACGATGTCGAGCCAACAGCACCTTCAATATTCCTATATAAATATAAATATCAGATGTAAAAATCCACAACGGATCTGTCCTACGACATCGTTTCAAATGAAATTTTACTACTAATTTGGAACCGGAATGGAATTGATTCAATCATGGAATTATGAATAATCATTGGTTTAGTTGTATATAGACATCCCGAAATCTATACTTTTTCTTCTTTATTGATGAAGTCTCTGTTAAGGGATATAAATCCCACATCGAATAATGATGTAAACACAGACCAATTAATAAAGATCCTGGGTTACTCCTCTTAATAAGGTTGAGATTTGGGGGTCCATCTTAAAAGGTCAACCTTATTAAGAGGAGTAACCCAGGATCTTTATTAATTGGTCTGTGTTTACATCATTATTCGATGTGGGATTTATATCCCTTAACAGTCTCGTGCAATTTGAAAGAAGCAGAGAGGCTATCAAATGTAAGGTTGTTTATGGTGAGTTATGACCGAAATCTCCAAAGAGAATGAAAAGGCAGTGAGTTTTGGAAAGAAATACGTGGCTAGTGCACAGCAGAACTTAGTCAAAATTCTATTTCTGCTTTTAAGAAAGTCTTTAAGGATATTCAGAACTTGGTTTATCTATATGGAAGCAATGGTAATTCATTTCTGACAATGTTGAATGCTGGTAGCAAAGGGAACTTTCAAAAATTAGTCGAACATAGCTTGTGCCTAGGTTTGCAACATTCTTTGGTTCCATTATCGTTTTAAATCCCTGATCAGCTCTCTTGTGCTTCATCGAACAAGCAAAAGAACCATTGTGCTGTTCAGAAATCCCATGGAATCCAAGAATCTTCTGAGTTGTATATCCCATGTAGTGTGGTTGCAATTTTTTTTCGAATGGGCTTAATCCTTTGGAGTGCTTTGCACATTCATTGACAGCACGTTACAGTTCTTTTAGCGGGCATGCTGATGTTTATGGGACTATAATTCGCAGGCTTATGTTTTTCATGCACGATTTAGTCAGTAGATATGATGGAACAGTCAGAAATGCTTATGGGAATCAAATTGTTCTATTTTCATATGGCTTTGATACGAATTGATGTAGGGGCGGAAGCGTCGAAATGATGTAAAGAAACATGCGATCGAAGTTTTGTTGATTCCAAATGAATAACACAACCTGATCTCCTTCTAATTTCAGTTTATCCCTAAAATATAAGAAATCTAGGCACCAAATTAAAAACTCTTTGATTCGTGCACGAATATGAAAATTTTGGACTCGTTGCTTTTTAATATCTGACATGCTAAAAATTATCGAAAATTCGAAAGATTTGAGAACTTCAAAGTCTATAATATTTATTCCAAAACCCACAGTACCTACCACTAAGGCTTACAATGCTATTGTTTTTATGCTATTTAAAACAATAACTAAAAACTAGATAAAGACCCAAATTAATGATGAAGACTCAATCTTCATCACTAATTCATGCCAAAGTCAAGGCACACGGAATCTAGAGAAATTGGTGTCCCGGAGACAAAAACTTTTTAGGAATTCTTCAGCTCAAGATGGTGATGAGGCAGTAACTTTTCTGACATGGCATTTGCAATTGTTAATTCCTTCCGTTGAAGGTGATGAACCAGACAATGCATCGTCTCGGGAATATGGGAATGAATAACATGCGTTCGCCAACCTTCTTAAGTTAATTAAAAATGAATTGATTAATAGTGGTCGTTTAAAGAACTTTTATGATTGAATCAAACCTTGATGAATATGTTTCATATTCTGTATGATGGCATGAGAAATAGTGTTGGTGAAGCGCTACATAATCATAAAATAGGTAATAAATAGCTAATTTTATTAGCATTTTTTGTTATTAAGGAATAAAAGTTAAACTAGTATTGGCACATTACATATGTTTTGATGTTTCTATAAAACTCCCATTCCCAATTTAGCAATAAATTATCTCTATAAATTAAGAAAACTCGAAAACAAGTCAATGCATACGCTCCACAAGAAATGATGGGTTTTAAAAAAGTAAATAGAGATACACCGATCAAATTGGCGCAAACTTCTAAACTCATCCAAAAACAAATCAAAAAATTATCTATTCTATGATAAAGACAAAACTTGTCTTTTATGAGAGAATCAAATTAAACAATTGTACATTATACTATTTATATGGATACTTTGTATTATATCTTTTCAAGATAATCTTAACCGTAATTTGGTTTCATGAATTCGAAAATATTAACTTTTATGTAGTAGTTGATAAAATTAGTTATCCACGTAAAATGCACGAGTATCTCAAAAACTTCATCCAAGAAGCACAATTTAGATGTCATTTGCTGCACCGCCTTGCTATGTTTGAGGAAACATTCAATGTGACATGTGCAGCTGGACGTGCATTCTAACGAAAGACTGGATCCTTACCTCATCAAATATATCGAAGACTAAAAGACTGGGTAGATCAAAGCAATCTCTCTTTTTGGAACCCATGAAATGACGAAATTATCTTTTGAACTTTTAAGACGTCAAATAAAGTATTATAATATAACCATCATGAAAGTTGATAATAATATAAATTTCAAAATACTTTAGAAAAACTTAATGTCATGATTTACTTTTCTGTCATTTGACATTTTAACTCCCTTATTGGTAAGTTTATTGGTAAATAAAATTACGTCTCAAAAAAATAGAAATACTTATCATACAACAAAAGTTATTGTCTGCTTGAATTTAATTGTTTTCACTAATTATAAAAGATTTGAGCTCACTACTTATTTTCAGAAAACTACTGATGTCTTGTTATTTTAGGATGCCCTGAAAGTAACACATACATTGATGTATTGTAAGACATTTCTAGATTCAATCTAGTAACACACATCCATATCAAACACAATATTATGGAGATTGAGATTATAAGTTAATGGTAACCTCTTGATGCCGTAAAATTTAAGCTGGATCAACCATCAAAGCTATGAACATGCGCACAAATCTAGGCTAGCTTGTCCCCTACAATTTCACTCTTGAAGAA